CCAGGAGCTGGTAAGAGGTGACCCCTCCTGGGAGCATGATCTCCTGTGGGACAGAGAAGGGGCAGGTCAGGGGAGAGAGAGGTTGAGCCCTATCAGGAGAGACAGAGGCAGAGACAGCCTCTGGAATGGAACCCAGGGAAAGGAGTCAGTCAATGGGGCAGGAGTGTGGGCACCTGGGTCTGTCCACCAGGGGTGTCGTAGGTGAGCAGGTAGCCAGTTGGAGGGACTTGGGGCTCAATCCAAGTGAGCCGGGCCGTGCGGGGAGTCACTTCCTTGGCCTCCAAGTCTCGGGGGCCCTCTAACCCTGGGAGAGGAAGGGGGAAGAGAAGATGGAGATGAGGCCCTTCTTGGCTACCTTGCACTTCCCCACCCCTGTCCCACACAGCTCACAGGAGGTACCTGTGATGAAGGTGATGCTAGCTGGAGAGGTGACGTTGGGGCCCCGAAGGCCATGCACGGTCGCTGTGTAGTTGGTGTGGAGCATGAGGTCGTGCAGGGGGTAGTCCACAGCACTGCCTGGGGCTGAGGCCTGTAGAAGGGGGGCTAGGAGTGGGAGTCAGGCATCAGCATCTGCCACCTCCCTGCCCTGTGGGAGCCCAGCCTGCCCTCTGCTCTCCCCACTCTGAACTAGTCCCATCCAGAGGCCTCAGCCCTGCTTACCCCCAGGGGCTGTGACCTTGACATCATATGTGTCCACAGGAGCCTGAGGGGGTTTCCAGTGCAGCAAGGCGGTTCCCTCCGTCAAGTTCAGTGCGCGCAGTTGGGTGGGGCCATCAGGAACTGGGAGAAGGGAGGGGATTCAGAGCTGTTCCTTACTGCTCCCCTCGGCCCTCACCTTCCCAAATTCTGCTGGGCTTCTTGTCTGCAACTGGAGCCTCCAATACCCCCATCCCCTCTCCATTCACTGTCAGCTCCCACCCACACCCTGCCCGGGTCCCAGTTCATCTAACCTGTGGTGAGGAAGCCTGTGAGAGGCTCACTCTCCTCAAAGCCTCGGACAGAGACCACAGTCACCTCATAGTGAGCACCTGGGATCAGCCCCTTGAGCTTCTGGGTCCGGGCTCGGCCATCTACCTGCACGCTCTGTGGCTCCCCTGAAAACACGATGGGCTTGGGAGGTTGCCCAGGGAAGTCAGGAGGAGCTGCAGGACAGACAGAGTAGAGGGCTCAGGAGAAATGAGAGCCAATGAGGTCATGGGCAAAAAGGTGTCACCTCCATGCGCCAGCTGGTAGGAAACTTTGAAGCTGTCCACTCTGGATGGTGGGGGCATCCAGCTGACCTTGGCTGAGGTCTCCCCGATTTCGCTGAATTGGAGATCACGGGGGCTCTCCAGAACTAAGGAGGGGGGTGTACCAAATAATAACGGTAAGGGCCTAGAGCAGAGAGGCTCTTGTCCCAGGATTCCCACCCCTCCTTCTCCTGGGGCCCTACTGGCTTCAGACATGCTTGCCACTACTCCTTTCCTCCAGACACAGACATGGAAGTTGCTCTGTAGATTCCCCCAAGCCCTCCACCACTTACCAGCCTCCCCTCTGGCCGAGGCACTAGCTTCCGTCCCATGCTGCCACTTTGGGGCAGCATGGATATGTGCCCAGTCGGGGGCCTTACCTGGGCTGAGGGTACGGGCGGTGCCCTGGATGCTGTCGGCCTTGTGGGGCCCACGCAGACCATACAATGTAAAGCTGTACAGGGTCCCAGGACGCAGGTCCCGGAGCGCAGCTGAGTGCCGAGTCCCTGGCACTGTCAGCTCCCTCTGCAACAGAGGCCGGGGATGTGGCTCCAAAGTACTTGATGATGGGACTCCATAGCGGAGCAGGAAGGAGTCAAAGGCCCCAGGTGGGGCCTCCCAGTTGAGTCGTAGAGAACTGGTGGTCACATCAGTCACAGACAGCTGGGACAGGCGGGGCCCTGGCTCCCCTGGGGTCTGACCAGCAGGAGCTGACCCTACACAGAGTGGGTGGGAGAGAAGAGTTTGGAGACAGAAGCACACCAACTTGATGACGTGGGGCAGGTCCCTTCAGCCACCCCACCCTAGCCCCCACTTCCTCATCTATAAAATGAAACTAATGACAGGCTGGCACCCACAGGAAGACCCATAGTGAGAACATATACGTGTAGAGCCAAGAGCTGCTTAACTACCTCTTCCTCCCTCCATGGTACACTCCTCATGTTCTTTCATTGTGGTCGCCACATCTGGGCACCCCGTTCGCCCTTCCCAGTCCCAGATTAGAGGCAGGTGAGGCTAAGATGAAGGGCTTGGTGGTACCTGTGGTGCCCTTGGCTGAGACAGGTCCCAGGCGCTTCCCTTCATGGAGGCCATAGAGGGAGAACTTGTAGAGGGTGCTGGGCTCCAGGCCTGACACGATGACCTTGTTCTGGTCCCCACCCACGAGCAAGGCCTGGGGCTGCCCATTTGTGTCCCAGTACTGGACCACAAAGGAATCAAAGGGGCCCCGGGCCACGGTCCATGAGAGGTGCAGGGAGTCTGGGGTTCTGTCAGTCACTGCCAGCTCCCCCAGGCGGGGTCCTTCGGAGGCCTCAGGGGCCTCTGTGGCAGGGTGCCAGGGGGCTGGAGTGTCCTCTTCTGGGACTGTGTGGGAGAAGCACAGGGAAGAGGCTGAGAGGGTATGTGTGCGCACGCGCCCTCGAATGCAGCAGGGTGCCTCCCCTCACTCTGTTGTACTCTCCAAAGAGGGGGTTTTGGGTTGGCCCAAGGCTGAGGTGGGGACTTTACTGGTCCTGGCCACGAAAGCCAGGTGGAGAGAAGAGAGGAACTGAAGCTCTTCTAGCATCTTCCTTCTCTTGAATCTACCACATCCCTGGTTTGGCGGTGATTCCTGCCACCCTGGA